TTTACCCGGATCTTGAGTGGGATTTTCGTCTACCATTGGTAAAAAGCATAAATGTTAGCGGCCACAAATATGGCCTTGTATATGCTGGTGTGGGTTGGGTTATTTGGAGGAACAAAGAGGACTTACCTGAGGAGCTTGTCTTTCACATCAACTACCTTGGCTCTGATCAGCCTACATTTACCCTCAACTTCTCCAAAGGTAATGTACGAATGCATTCATTTATCTTTGTAGGTATGATTGTGCTTATATTTGTCTCAATTATGGCAGGCTCTAGTCAAATAATTGCTCAGTACTATCAGTTTATTCGCCTTGGCTTCAAGGTAATTTTTATTAATTTTGCGTATAGCAGAGGCCTTAATTTGTCACAGCTAGCACACTTTGGAAAATTGGGTTGAGGCCTTATATGGTGCTAATTGCTCTTCACATTTGTATGATTTTCTCTGTTTCTTGTCTCAACTAAGGGCTACAAGAACATCATTGGAAACTGCATGGAGAATGCAAGAGTGTTGAGAGAAGGACTAGAGAAAACAGGGCGTTTTGACATCCTTTCCAAGGAGGTAGGAGTGCCGCTTGTGGCATTTGCTCTTAAAGACAGCACCAAATACACTGTGTTTCAGATAGCTGACAATTTAAGGAGGTTTGGTTGGATCATCCCAGCTTACACCATGGCCCCGGATGCCCAACACATTGCTGTCCTTCGCATTGTGATCAGGGAGGATTTTAGCCGAGCCCTGGCGGAAAGATTGATCTCACATGTTGAAGAAGTTTTGAAGGAAATGGACACACTCGCTGCCAAAACTGCCGAAACAACAGCTACTGTTGATGCAGCACAGAGGGGGAAGCCTGCTAAAAAGAGTGAGAGAGAGATTCAAGAGGAGGTCACCCAATACTGGAAGCGTTTTGTGGATCGAAGAAGAACTGGAGTCTGCTGAGAGACTTCTGAAATCCATCTTCTTCATAACATTGTGAGTGAACATTAGTGCTGTATGCGTGATTATATATATTATGTGTTCTTGGTGTGCTAGCTGAATGAGTGTAATAACTCTTAATGACCATCATATATATGTAAGTAGAACAGAACGTTTATATTAGTTCTACTTGCCGGTTTTCTTTTAATTGATGTTTTAAACTGTGTTTTGTTTTAGTTTTTTCATTTTTCAACTCATACAATTGCTTCCAAAGCTGAAACCACGTCTGTTCCAAACACATAAGCCAACTAACAGTCCAAGAGCTTTATTTAGTGCTCTAGTTGGAGTGCCAGATTTTGGTATGGAGTAGAACGGAGAGGGGTTCTTGAAGAAGTTTCTAATATGATGATGAAATGTAAAAGTTTAATGATAACATAATGATAATATAAATAAAATAAAAGATAAGAAATGAAAGAGAGAAAGATATGATATTAGGTAATTTGATATAATATTTTTTACATATGAGTAATCTCATTTATAAGGTAGAGTATATATAATATAAGAAAATGTTAAATACCTTTTTTGGTCCGTTTACTATAGGAAAAAGCTTCTTTTTGGTCTCTGTACTGAAAAAATCTCCATTTTGATACCTAAATTTTAAAATCTGACCCACTTTTAGTCATTCCGTTAATTTTTGCTCACGTGGCATGTTAACTTAATTGGAACAACTGATGTGGATATATCAATATGTCAAAGATGCTTACATAGACTTAATGACACCCTCTATGTCACCTTCCCCTGCGCAGAAAATTAAAAAAAAAAAAGGTTAAATGCTAAATTTGATTTTTCAACTTTATAAGTTTGCACTTTTTTGGTCTTAAGTTATTTTTTTTCATTTTTTTATCTTTTAACTCTCAAAATTGCACAATTTTAATCATTCCATCAGTTAAATATGACGTGACAATTAAATAATCACATTTGACATTTTCTTTTAATTTTTTTATGACATGACAAGTATATATATATTATAATTATGTTATATAGATAAATAAGAATGTCACGTAGATAAATATTTATATTTTAATTAAAAAATAAAATTACATTATTGCCCTCACCTCCCAATCCCTCTTCTTCCCCTTCTTTCTTTCTCTTTCTTTCTTTCCTACCAAGATCAGCTGAGTTCGTCGAAACCCAACTGCTGGTCGACCCATAAAAGGTTAAATGCTATGACGTTGAGAGTTCATATTCTCACAAATCAAACTCACTAAAACTTGCAAAAAAAACTATGAACCCTAGAATGCTCCAGAGCAAAATTTGAGTTCTCTATCATAGAACCCAATTACTAGTTTCATTAAAGCCACTAAGTCCATCAAGCCAATAGATCTCACCAAATCAAATTAACTCTTCAATAAACAAATGCAATCAAACTCTAATCCAATTCCAACAAAAATGCAATCAAATTGTAAATCAACTCTCAAATTTATCAAGAACCGAAAATGAAAATCAAAAGAAGAATGAAAAAACATGAACCTAGTGTCAAAACCAGCAAGCGCGACCAGCATGGTTGGGTTGGTTGAAACCCAGCCTTGCTGGTCACGCGAACCCAACAGTTGGGTTTCGACGAACCTAGCAAGGCTGGGTTTGAGCGACTAGCAAAGTTGGGTTCGACGGAACCAAGTAGATCTGGGTTTCGTCGAACCCAGCTACCCAGCTCATCAGAACCCAGCTAATCTGGGTAAGAAAGAAAGAAAGAGAAAGAAAGAAGGGGAAGAAAAGGGATTAGGAGATGAGGGTAATAATGTAATTTTATTTTTTTAATTAAAATATAAATATTTATTTACGTGACATTTTTATTTATCTATATAATAT